GGTGTTAAGTCCTCTACATAACTAACTGCCAATGTTTACGGAGCATTTGCTTGGGCCTGAACGGTGCTAAGTGTTATAAACATTATTTCATAAATTTCTCACTCTACCCCATAATGCAGTACTACTGTTCTCCCCTCTTACCCAGGAGGAGATGAGGCTCAGAGAGGGGAAGTAATTAGCTTAAGGTCAAATTTGCCCAAGTGGAGCCCATAGACATTGCTGTATTCTGTGCTGCATGCGACCCCCTCAGTGCCAGCGGCCTGTCTCTGGGGAGCTGCCCCGGCCTCTTATGGTCACTTAAATATCCCAGATTCTGCTCAAAGTTGTCTCCTCCTAGAGGCAATGGCTCCATTTAGGGTTTGCAAGAAATTCTACCTTTAGGACACTGGAGAGAAGTGGAAAACTTAAACCCAAGTACTAAACTGAGGGCTTTGTTACAACACAACATGCTTAATAAAAAGTCAAAAGTGTTGATCTTTTTTTCAACAGCATTCTCCTGTCATTTTCCACCTGACTTGTTTGTTAAGCCTAATTCATTGCTATAACATAGCCCATCCAGGCAAGATAACAGCAGCATAGCTCTATGACTGATGAATCAGCTTTTAGAATTTAGCTTACACTGAAGGTGACTGCTCACATCTGCTACTTAAGCCAAATTCAAGGCTTCACTCATAAAGTAAGTCTTTGTTCAAAGACAGCCTCAGTGCAGGCTGAGCCTGCTTTTTATTTAGTCACATTACTACAGAAATGCCTTATAGCCAGTATCTTAATTATTCATGGTTTGTTGGCAAATTAAGTCACTTACCTCTCCAATCTCTAGAAGGGGAGGAAGTGTTCAATTCCAAAGAAATTATGCCTTCCCAGCTTTGCTGGTCTGGCAATAACACTGCTGCCAAATACCTTATGAATAGGTGGAAGATCTTATTTCACTTATAGTATATGAATAAACAAAACACCCCCAGGGGACTGCCAGGTATTTCATGAAATGGATACCTCCCTCCCCACCCTCATTTCTCCCTAGAGTGATTGAGTTTTGGATTTTCTTACAAGCAAGACTATTCAGATTAAAAGCAAGAAAAGTGATACCTTTTTATCAACAAGATGATAAAAAAAAAATTGGGTTCAGTAAAATATGTAATTCTCTGGTGTATGTTTCTAGTTCATGTGCCTGAAAGCAGGGCAGTATGGTGGGACAGTCCCCGCTATGATTTAGAATTTATATTTATAGTTCTATATCTATAGAAATATAGATATTCTAATGATGAGCTCCCACACACTTAATTCAAATTACTGTGGCAAAATAGTACAAAGGTATTTGTACAAGATTCCTTGTGCTTACTTTGAAAAATAACTAATTGTTTGTATTTAAAAAGCACTGGATTTGAGATTCTAATAATGCAGGGGACATTGCTGGTTACTTTCCTGCCAAGCAGTCTACGCTTCCTCATGGTTTGGCAGCAGTGTGGTCTGGGTGGGGCCAGTCTCTCTGTCAGTTTCAGAAGTGGGTCTGTTCCTCCACTGGTCTAAGTCTGTCAATCTGTAATCTAGTGTTTCTTAACCTTTATATCCATACCCCCTTAAGGAGCTTTTTAAGATTTTTTGTTTATTTGTTTGCTACTCACTCCCCCAATTTTACCACCACAGATAGCTATATATCCGTTTTACATATTATGTGTATATCTGTGCTTTATATATAAAAGGAGGAAGTTTTTTTTGCCATCCTCTGAAATAATTTTTGCCCCTTTTGGGCCATATCACTCTTGCTGAGAATGCATGAATTGTAATGCCATCCTCTGTGCCAATCAGTGCAAGCCATTGGGGGTGGACACAGACTCTAAATCAGACTCTCAGTGTGCAAACTAAGACTTTTTTTGATAGTTGGTGGGTATGAGAAATTGTTTCTCTTTCTGAATGTGTGAATCTAAGGCCTGAAACTTCTGTGATTACTTGCTATTGTGAGGAAAGAAGCCAGCTGAGGATAAAGCCAACACATGAACAAGACAAGAACTGAATTAATTATGGAGAATAAGCACAGTACCCTGATCAAACCATACCTGAAGTTCACTTTACTACTACATGTTTCAGTTGTGTCAAAAGTCACTTCTTTTTACTCTGTAGGCTAGTTTGAGTTGGGTTTCCTATTGCAATTTAAAAAATCCTAACTGACAGAACAGATAGTATTTATTGACTGCTTCCTAAACTCTAGTCAGTGTGTGAAATATCTTACATGTTAATTAATTATTTTATCAACCACTGTGATTAGTATCATTATGTATCTCCGTCTAAAAATGGTGGATTAACTTTTCCATGGTTATACATAGGCAGAAGTTGGATTCACTCCTTTGTCTATTTAACTTGGAACCCAAGGTATTAATCACTTCATTTTACTGCCCTTAAATTCTGTTACAATATAAGTCACTATTTTCTTGCTCAATATCTGAAAAGCATTAAAGAAATGATCTTCCTTTGCAAATGATTAATGATGCTGCACAATTAAGAATACTATGGTTCGCCAGGCTCGGTGGCTCAGCCTGTAATCCTGCGCTTTTGGGAGGCTGAGGTGAGTGGATTGCCTGAACCTGCGGGTTCGAGACCCGCCTGGGCAGCGAGACCTCATCTCTACAATAAATAAAAAAAAAATCAGCTGGGCGTGGTAGCGCATGCCTGTAATTCCGGCTACTTGGAAGGCTGAGGCGGAAGGATCGCCGGAGCCCAGCAGGTTGAGGCTGCGGTGGCTGACTCCAGTCTGGGCGACAGAGTGAGACTCCAACTCAAAAAAAAAAAAAAAAAGAATACTATGGTTCTTCAAAGACTGAAAAATAGTTTTGAAAATCTTATTTCTCTAGACACAGAAAGCTTTAAACCTAGAGATCATTTTCTTCTACTTATGATTCTTTATTCATAAAACCCATCATTATTTTTATTTTATTTTATTATTTTTACTGATACAAGTATATATATTTTGAGGGTACATGTGATACTTTGATCATTCACAAAATCAAGTCAGGGTAACTGGGCTATCCATCACCTTTAAATTGATCTATTCTTTATGCTAGGAACATTCAAATTATTCTCTATTTTGACATGTATAATCAATTAATGTTAAAAAGAAAGAGCAGGTATTGTTTTGTTTTGTTTTAGAGATGGGTTGTTGCTTTGTTGCCCAGGCTGGCTTCAAAGTCCTGGGTGCGAGTGAGTCCCCTGTCTCAGCCTCCTGAGTACCTGGGACTACAGGCACACGCCACCACGCCTGACTACCATCATTATTTTAGAGGTTCTTATTATGAGAGGGTATTGGTTCAGTCACCAAACATTTTACGGAAAATAAAAAAACATATATTTTAGTAGTTTAGTCTCTCAAATTGCTGTTTTGCTTAAAAATAATTATTGATCAACCTTATAAAGAACCCATAGGGTCTCAGGTTTCTGGAACTATCATTTTTGAATCAGTCAGTAACAGTATTAGAGATAAGCCATAAATCCCCTGAATCCTTGGGGAGTGAGGCACAGAGCTCGCCTGCTTGGTTAGTTATTTGCGTTCTCTTTTTGAAAGTTTCTCAGACATTAAAGAGAAAAAGCACAACTACACAAGGGGCACTTATCCCATAGACCAAACTGAACTGGGATCATCCAAGAAAGAAAAAAGGCTTGAAAGGCGGGCACACCTCTGGCTCCCAAAAGCCGGGGGAGCTGTATACTGTGGCCAGATGGGCGATAGCCACAGTTCCCTAATACTCTCAACGCCACGTGCTGCCCTGGTTCTCAACCTGGCTTTCAGATTCCATTTTAGAACGCAGGCTATCACAGATAGGTTATACAAAGCAGGAGCTGTGACAGCGCAAGTTCAAAGGCTCCTCACGTTTTAATGAGGGTGGCACGGGGACACCGACTCCTTACACTTCCAACGTCTCACCGTAGGTGCTGGTCTCTTCATCTTGCCTGATGGATGGAAGACTGTGGCTTGTCAAAGCCAGGTGCCTGATCACATATGGGATGCAATATAAATGAAATATAAATCCCAGCCATATTGGGAATGGGGTCAGTGGGGGGAATCCAGGAACTGCAGCAAAGCTACTCCACATCACAGAAAAGAAAATATGATGTTATATTTCCATAGTAAACACCTGTTACAATCTTTTCAACTTAACAGTGCAGATTTTTTTAAACCTTAAAGCTATTAACAACCAAAGCACAGGACTTTTAAATCCATAAATGACTGTTAAAAAAAGAAAAAGAAACGAAAACATAAAACAACCAACAAGCTGCAGTCCCAGAGAGGATGAATGGTCTCCTAGTTGAACAAAGTTGCTGCATTTTTTGCCGGCAGGATGGGACCCGGCCGAGAAATAAAGGGGCTGTGTTGTGTGACAGGGAGTAAATCCAAACGTTAGCATTCCAGCGCTCAGCCGCGCCACCCCTCCCTTCCCCAGCCTGTCATCTTCCTGCAAAGTGTTCACAATTTGCTGTCCTTCCTTCTAAAAGCCACTAGACAAGATTCAGCTTTTCCTGGCTCTGCCTTGCAAGTTGGGACTGCCTGATGGAAAACTGAAATCAAATCAAACGGAAGAAGGCAAAGCCAGGAAGGCCCCCCTCCGACAGTAAACGGGCACAGTAAACCCTGGCACCCCCACCCCAATGAACAGAAAAAGACGGGATCATCTGAACGTCTAAGTGGCCTCCTGCAGTCCCTCTGCTGCAAAGGGACAGCTTTCGTAGCCAAGTGCCCGCCAGTACACCCTCCCTCTGTCACAGATGTGTGTGTGCAAAAGCTGCGACTCACTCGCAAGTGCCCCCCGTGCCCGATTGGAAAAATTCACCAGCTTTGTCCGGCAACAGTTACCTGGAGCCGCTGAGCCCTTGACCCGAGGGCCAGCTGTCTGCTGGGAGTTGAAAGGGAGGCGGCTGGGGGAGAGAGGGCATCAAATCCTACAGGTGGAAAGGGCGCCCCACGAGCGCCAGGCACCCTGCAGGGGCCCCGGAGTGCCGCGCGCCCGGCTCACCTGGTACACGTCCCGCAGCCCGCACCACGTCCGCAGCACCTGGTGGCAAGCCCGCAGCCTCTCCGTGTACCATCTCCGCAGCGTGGACACTGTCAAGTTCCACACGAAGCGGCTGCCGCTGAACAGCAGGTCTTCCACGCCGCACATGAACACCGAGGCCATGCCTCCTTCTCCTCCTCCTTCCCTCCGATCTCGGGGGTCCTCGGCTCCGCCGCTGCGGCCTCGACCCCCGGCGCGCGCGCCTTAGCTCCCGAGCGCGTTTCTGCCGGCCGCCGGGGGTCAAGCCTGCCACCAAACTCGTCGCTCACGGTGCGTCCTGGCCAGGCTCCCGCGGCATGCCCCGGGATTGGGCGCCCGCCAGCCAACGGCTGCGACTGGCACACAGAAGCCCAGTGTCCACCCCCGCCCGCTCGCCACGCAGAGCTGGCTGCGCTAAGCTCCGCCAGGCGAGCCCTCGGCGCTCCCGGGACAGGGGGAGTCCGGACCAGCGAGGACTCCCCCTGGCGCTCCCCCAGGGCGCGGGGCAGGGAGGGAAGCAGAGCAACTCTTCGCAGGCAGAGAGGATGGCTGCATTTCAGCGCACTCGGCGTGCACGTCCTGCACACACGCGCGCACACACACACACACACACACACACACACACACACACACACACACACCCAGGACAGGAATTTCCTAATCTGCCTTGGGGAACACCTTCCTTTGCACTACAGGGTCTTTGCTTAGCATCTTGCTCTGTCCACACAGATAAACACCTCTGAACAGCCACAGATGGAGAAGGAAGAAAAAAAAAAAATCCTCCAAGGCATCCCTCTGGACCCCATTCCTGGGGGAACAGCCCTGAATGTTTCCTTGGTTTGGCTGGAGCCAGGAGATGAAGGCACCAGTCTCAAAGCAACCGTGTGCAGGTGGCCAGGAACCTGCCTTTGCTCCTAATTTGAGGGTCTCTGAGAAAACAACCACCTGCTGTTGTTGTCAACACGAGGGCAGTTTCCCTCACACCAAGGTGCTGCTAATTCCAGTGCAGCAGTCAGTTACAGAGAAAAGCAGAGTTCCTCATTCCTAGCACATAGCATTCAGTTGCTACTGCTGGGAAACAGAAGCCATGAGAGAATCCCTGGTTTGGTTCTGGAAAATTTAGCCTCTGGATATGTCTAGCCTTAGCTGCCAGCATAAACCTGCCTGGGTAGTTTATTCTCCACTCAAAACCCAAAGGAAGCTGTCCCACCACTCAAGAAGTCACCAGATAATTAATCCTTTTTTTTTTTAAAGCTGTCCCAGGAATGGACATTGTGGGAGGCTTTTGGAAAAGGAAGCCCAATGATCTCTCCTACCATCAGTCTCTATTTTCCTATAGAGCATATAAGATTTCAGTTCCACATATACTATAACCTTTTCTATAGCAAAAGCACTGCAGCACATTTCACAATGGAGTTTTTTTCCTGAATCCATCTGTAGAGCAATTGTCTGTATTTTATTGGTGGTTCACACCTGGGCTGTTATCTTTGCTATTAAGTGGCACCAAAAGGAAAAGTAAGGCACCAAAGCCTTTCTCCTGAACTAGCTCAGAAGGCCCCAGAACAGATTATCGACACATAAATCAGCTTGATTTCAGGTTTCAAATGTGCCTTTAGAATCTTAATTCAGGTGAAACTCAATCAGTCAAAAGACGAACACAAAATCTGTTCTCAAAGTGCCTGTTGTTTTCAAAGTGGCTGTAATCAGAAAACTTTTAAATGATGTTTCTTTTATAACCAATAAAATTGCCTTAGAGTTTTTCTTGGGTTAGTTAATAGTACACAAGACCTGATCCAAGATTTGCAAACCCTTCTTCACAGTAAATCTACTCTGCATGTTTACTAGTATTCGTATTATTATTATTTTTTAAAGATAATGGTCATGGTATTTATACAGAAGCTGAATAGGTTTTACTGAATCAAAAGAAAATGAAATATAGTTATAAAAAGAAATGTCATCGTGCTGATGGAAAACTACTGAACTTCAAAAATGGCCTATTAGTACGAGCGAACGGTGGTGGTACATTTATTTTTTTTAACAATGCAGTTTGACTGTGTTCTCGGAAATGTCAGGCAGCCAAGGGAATACCAGAATAAAACCTACAACAGGTCAATTACCTCCGTCTCATGACACCATCCTCTCAGAAGAGATGCTCTAGAAACACTTCGACTGTTAGCTATCTGTGCATTGGTCTAATGTCAGCGGTCAATTTCACCTTCCATCATTTTCATTCGAGGTTTCCAAAGCCAGTGCTTATGAAATTTTTTAGAAGATGGAACAATATAATAGGGGTTCTCTAAGTGTGGTCCCTGGACCAGCAGTATCAGCATCACGTGGGAACTTGCTAGAAATACAGGCTCTCAAGTGACCCCAGAATCAGAAACTATGAGGGTGAGGTCAGGGATCTGAACTTTCACCTGGTTTCTGGTAATTCTGACTCATCACTAAAACCGGAACTATCATGGTGGTGGTCTGGTGGTGAGATGCTAAAATCTGAAAGAGACACAACTGATTTCAAATCCTTGTTCCTCAGGAACTGCGGGACATTGAATAAGTTCCTTAAGCCAACAAAGTTTCAATGTCATCATGTATAATATGGGGATATATCAAAATTCACTATGAAGAGTTGGGGAAAACTAAGTAAAATATTCTGTGTAAAGTGTCTAGCGTGGCAGCTGGCAAAGAGTAAACACCCAGAGAAAACCAGCCACCATCGCTACCAAAATCAGGAATTGTTTCACTTTTTTGTACAGATAAAACAGGACAAGTAAAATGTATTTTGAGTTTTGACTATCTACATCTGCTTTCCTATTCTTTTTTTGTTGGTTGGGGTAAAAGTTGGTAGGGACTTGTTTTCATGGAGTAGTTCTGCTGCTCTCCTTCAAGTTCCCAAAAAGAAACTTTCTTTTTTATTAGTTGGGAGGGGGTCTCTGTCATCTAGACAATGGCACCATCACATCTCACTGCACCCTTGACTTCAGGGGTGCAGGCAATCATTACACCTCAACTTCATGAGTAACTGCCTTAGACTGGGACTACAGGCATGCACCATTAGGCCCCACTAATATTTTGATTTTTTGTAGAGATGAGGTCTTGCTATGTTTGCCCAGGTTGGTCTTGAATTCCTAGGCTCAGAAAATCCTCCTGCCTCACCTCCCAGAGTGCTGGGATTACAGGTGTGAGCCACAATATCGGGTTGCAAAAAACTTTCTGAAGCTTGATCTTCCTTACCAGATCAACCTTTGCTGTAGATTCAGAAAAGCTCTATGTAAGACAGGAGAAGACATTTTATTCCCACCAACATAAACATTGATGCCTTTTTTAAAAAAAAAATCCAAATGGCTTTCCGTAAAAGAAGTTTGAGGATCGAGGATGAATGGGATTTCAGGGAGAAGAAGTGCAACTTCCTCTACACCAGGCTCAGTGGGTGGCACCTGAACTCATATGTGTGGCAGTGAAGAAAAGAGTGGCCCAAGTGTGGCACCATCCTGAAAATGGACTACCCACGTGGGCAAACCAGATCCCAGATACACACCCTTGAAGCTGGTCTAAAATTTTCCGTGGAAAGAAAGCTAAATCAAGCCAGTTTCCAAATCGTCTTGCTTTTCCTTTTTTTTTTAATTTAAGAAGAGGATTATATTTCCTCTTCAGCATCAGAGTTCCCTGCAATACACTGTAATTTCCTGCAGCTCTCTCCGGAGGCTGAAGAAGATGCTTCAGGTGACAGCATTACTCATACACCTGGGAGTTCTGCTGCCGTAAAAGAGAAATTGTCATTATCCCTGAGGCTCCTGTAAGTTCTCCTTTGAGCAATTGGCAGGAAGAAGAGCACAATGCTAAGAAGGTAGGACAAACTGCCAACCCCTGTCTCTAGAAAGAGATAGCAAGTTGGTAACATAGCAGCTTCCGGTGGCCCTCTCTGCCTAGCAAAAACACATTGTCCACCTAATGTCTGTGGACATTTTTCAAGTGTACTCTCTACACACCTGAGAAACCAGTGGGTTGAAATTGTGATAGACCACAGATGTGTGACACTGGGGTGAGGTGAACAAAAACAAGGTCCAGTTCAATGGTTCGCTACCGGGGCAATTTTGTACCTTCTCCCCACTTGGAAACATTTGGTAATATTTGGAGATACGTCACAACTGGGGGTGCTACTGGTATCTAGTAGGCAGAGGCCAGCGACGCTGCTAAACATCATACAATGCCCTTGGCAGACCCTAGGCAAAGGACTCTCCTGCCCAAAATGTCCCTGGTACAGAGATTGAGGAACCCTGGTCTAGTTAAATGCTACACCCTGGCCTTCTTCTCACATGACTTTCATTGTGGAGAGGCATTCTTTCTTCCCTCTTGATACTTTCTTTCTAAAAGGCAGACTGGGGAAGAAATGAAGCAGTCTATAATGGTTTTTACACACTCACAATTTTGAGTCTAATAAACTCAAAGGCTTTTGAGAAATAACTGGAATGCCAGTTCCCATTATTTTCATGTATCGTTTTTGGATATTTACTATAAAAAGGAGGAATGATTTTCATCATAATCTATTCTTTTCTTTTTTATTTCTTTTTGAGTTGGAGTCTTACTCTGTTGCTTAGGCTGGAGTGCAGTGGCTTGATCACAGCTCACCGCAGCCTCAACCTCCTGGGTTCAGGTGATCCTTCTGCTTCTTCCTCCTGAGTAGCTGGGACTATAGGCACAAGTTACCATGCATGGCAAATTTTTTTATTTTTTTGTAGAAACAGTCTCACTATGTTGCCTAGGTGGGTCTCAAACTCCTGGTCTCAAGTGATCCTCTCGCCTCAGCCTCCCAAAGTGTTGGATTACAGGTGTGAGCCTCCATGGCTGGTCAATTTTCATCATAAACTATTTATAATTTTGGACTTTATTTTTGATTTTATCATTGCATTTAAATTAGAGGCTCCTTAGTTGTAGTAGGCAGTCTTTCTCTGGCATGTTGAAAGAAAAAAGTGCCCCCATCCCAACTCTAAGGTGGAATGCTATATGTCCTTTGGGTCATGCCCTGTTACGAAAGTCTCTCCTTGCAGACATGACAGGATAGTTCTACTTTCAGCTCACTTTTCTCTATGAGGCTCTGAGCAACCGTGGTGGTGTGATGTGGAGGTGAGGCTGAAACGGTTCCTTTTCATGCAGGAATATCGTATGCACTGGAAGGTGTTGAGTGACCTTGGGCTCTCCCTGCTAATCCAGTAAGGCCCCAGTCATTGTGTCAGCAACAACAAAACATATCTCCATACATCTCAGAACACCCTGGATGGGGTGGTAGCTACCCTCATTTAGAAACTACTGGTGGGAGTTGGGAAAGGGTCTTATTCATATTTGTTTCCCCAGCAGCTGGCACGTTGCAGGCAATCAGTACACGTTTATTGAACTGACCAATAAATGACTGTTTGTCTCAACAGTGAATACAGAAAGTGTTCATCTATTCCTCCAACACTTACTCTT